TTCAAAATATGCATGTGTGTAAAATCACACACACACACACACATATATATATATATACCTATGCATATATTCACATATATCATGCATTTATATATATATATATATATATATATATATATATCCAATTAATACAAAATTTCATATATTAGCATGATCAAACATATCAATTTATCATGCTATCACGTAATCATTTAATCAAATAATCACGTATTAATTACCTTAGGTAATAACCAAGATCCGGTTATCACACCATTTAGCAAACCGAAACAAATTTATGTTTCGATCCATTATGTAAGACAAGCTAAGGGTGATGATTAAGAAACTAGCAACGTTTTATTCCCCATCTTTGGTTTTATATCGTTATTTTTATTTACATAATCAAGAAACATGAGAAAACCTTGACGATTTTACATTACTCATGATTAAAAGGTTAGGGCACGGTGGTTGAAGATCAAAAACTAAGAAATCTGAAATTGTTACTGCAAGAACATCCTATCGTGAACGTGTCATTTCTAGTGTAGATGTGATCATTCGTAAGTTTGGGTGGGACACAAATTGGCAAGGCCGTCCCTGGGGGAAGGCAGCACTGGCGCACGCCCATGACCCAAAAATATCAGGGGCCCAAATTTTTTCCTTAAAATACAATATTAGTCTAAAAGAATTTAATAAATTAAAGAAACCCAAAAAAAATTGTAGCATATAATAAAAGACAAAAAAAATTAGTAGATAATGAGGGTCCAAAAATATATTAACTAATTACATTGGAGAAAAAAATGTAATAAAATTGGTCATTCATTATATGATATTGTTTGTCTCTCTAATTATTTTTTTATCTCCAACAAGGTCCAATAATATTGGCTATTGTTATCTCTATATGTTTAACTGTTTTCGTGCTTCAACAATTCAACGTTAATATCACGTGCTTGCTATTGCAATATATTTTTGTTGGATATTTTTATCAATTTCTGCTTTTATTGACTATTGCTATTTGGTTATGTCGTTCTAATTGTTTTTGTAGACTATTGTTATCTATTTTTGTTTCTACATAAAATATTTTACTATTGTTTGACAATCAATATATTGTTCTTATAATTTATGACGTGTTTCATTGTTTTGTGATTAATCAATAAATTTTTTCTACTAGATGTATTTAGTAATGTCTCTTATATATGTCATGTTTCATAAACTTTTAATATTAATATCTTATTTTAGTTGAACAAAAAAAGAAGAAAAATATAATTTAAGTATTTTCATCAATTGTTTGACTTATGTATATTTCA